CCACAAGCCGATTACTTGGTGTTTTCGGTATACTTAGTATTTGGCTTGACTTATACGAGTATTCAAATTTTGGACTTGTACTTGGCTTGTTAAAAACGAGTACTTGCAGTTTCAAGTACTTTCGAAAATTGATAGATTTGCAAATTATTTGCCTTGTTTTATTACTTGTTATTTGTAATTTTTTTACAAATTACTTGAACTATTGGTAAATTATTTGATAATTAGTTAAAATTTAAAGGTAAATAAATTTATTATATATAAATAACATGTCATTGTTTTCATTTTGTCATTGTTTTTCTGGTTTTTAATCATTCGTAAAATAGATTATATTAAAAAATAAAAAAAATCCAAAATGTTTATATAAATATATCACTTATGTTTGATTCACTTATAAAAATTGAAATATAAACGAATTATTTTACTATTATTGAGAAAAGTGTATTTTCCTTCATTGACAAAAACGAATAATAAATCAAACAACGCTGAATAATTATTTTTCTTTTTATTATTTTGTATTTGTTTGTTTTTGAAGGCAGTTTAAATAGATTACTTGATACACATCTTAGTCGAAATAAGTATTCAATTTTAAGGATCGTGTCAACCAAGTAGTGAACATGAGGCAAGTAACAAGTAATCGTGGCCACTCATAAAATACATAAATTTTAATTAATTAATGAAATATATACTAAGTATTTAATAAACCAAATAACATATGACAAGTAACAACTAACAAGTAAAGGATAACAAGTAATAAACCAAGTACCAAACCAAGTAGTTAATAATTAAAATGAACTTGATACTTGAATTTTACTTGCAAGTAATAAAATCTATTTACTTGTTACTCGATTTGAATGGAGTAAGTACTTGTTTTTTCAAATCAAACCGAATCAAGTAGCGAATACAGGCCGAGTATCAAACATTTGTGCCCAGTCCTAGATAAGACATAATAGATAGGGCTAGGAAAGATATCCGTAAATTTTGACTCGATCTGTTATCCATTTCGATTTAAACCAAAAAATTTGGATATCCATAATTCTATAAAATAAATCAAATACTAAAATATAATGTCTGGAAAAAATAAAACAAATCAAAAATACTAATATTTTTAAGAACGGATATCCAATCTAATCTTATATTTTATATAACTTTAACAATATTTTTATTGAATTTATTATATTAATTATTAGAATTTTTCAAATTAATTAAATTATTATTTTATATAAAATATTATTATTAATGGATTCTTATGTATTTTCAAATTATTATTTTTTTGTGCGGATTGAACAAGTTATCCAGTTAAAATTTTAAATTTTCTGGATATTTAGAATACTGAATATATAGATGGTTATGAATCAAATTAAATCGGATAATTGATTATTTAAACTAAACGAATCAGATCACGATTATCTCTATATACTCAAATATTTGATCTGTGTGTACCCTTAATAACGGATACAGACCTCATGGGCCATAGCTAAAGATATACGGACATTGATTATTTGATACTAGTATATTGGAATGGGTGATGGATATGCTATGCTCTTCAATTCTCTGGTTTCCTCGCTAAAGTCTTCCCATTCCTTATAGCTGTGTAATTCTTTAATACCCCTCAACCTCCTAATCCTACATCAAAGTGTTTTTTTTTCTTGGGGGTATCTTGAGCCTATATATGAGTTCATACTAATTTCCAATGAAATATGTAATCCATGGATGGGTTTTGTCTCAGAATTTTCTAATGAGCCTAATTTTATTCATTTTTTTTTTACTCTCACTCCGCATGGTCACAAGGTAAAATGTAGTGGAATGTTTTTGAATCGGATTGCTTAGCAAATTCCAAAGCTCGCCTACCACTAGACCACCGCTTTGTGGTTAAAATTTTATTCATCTTATTGTGTGTTATATGTGAATTAGTTTATTTTATGCATATGTATGTATTTCTTATGTTACGGGGCTATGTTTTGGAAAATAAGACAATAGAAGCCATTCAATTCATTAAAAGGTAAAACATTATGTGATTAAATCCATCTATGTGAATACGTGATGCTAAGAACAGAGAAACAATTTCTCAAAACACCAGAAAAAAAAAGAACAGAGAAACAATGAAGTATCATATTACGTGGTGTCACTCCTTTTTCAATAATTCCGTAAAACTAAATACATGTCATGTACAAATTTTAAGCATGCACCAAATCTTCTCTATTAAAAGAGAAGTACCAAAAAAATCTACTGTACAAAAATCATGTTAGACCATTTCATTAATTATTTATATGACATATTTGATTGTTTATATTAACTCTTCAAATATATATTATTTTCAAAATATATTAATAATTAATAAGGATAGTAACAATAAATCAATTCAAATATAAAAAAAATCAGTTGAAAACAATCTAACAATATCTGACAAAAAAGTTTAAGATTTTTGTTTTATAAATAAGTATTTCTTAATTTCATGATTAAATATAATATACACTAATTTGAATTAAAATAAAATTAGATGCTATATTTAGAAATTCTCTAATAATAAATCTGTATTATCTTACATTAAAATGATATATGCAATAAAATAAAATAGTAAAGTAACCTATATTATTTTTAAAACTGCTATCGCTTAAATAAATATCCCTAACTGTTAAAATGAATTAAAAATTTTAAATCTTGTAATTTCGTATACAAAAAGAAATGTTAACATATATTTTTGTAGCTCACAACAAAATATTATCTATAAATACTTATATATTATTTTTTATTTATTTTTGAAACTCCCAAAAGTATTTAAAAATTATGCTATTAGAAAATTTTGACATTTTAATATTTATTAAAAATAATAACAAATCAATTATAACAATAAATTTATTGTTTATTTACCCTTAAAATTATAGAAAAATTTAAAATTACTGAAATTTTAAAATTTTAAAATAAAAATGCATTAATTTAATAAAAAGAATATTCAAAAGTAATATAATCATCCAAACTCAAAAATAGTTGTCTAATTTTCAAATTTTTTGATTAGATATATAATTTTAAAAATAAATTTTCCAAACTCATTATGATAAATTTCGAATTTTACAAAAGATAAATATTAAGTTCTAAATTATATTTTTTTGAAATGCCACAGGAAAATAAAATATTTTGTAAATATTATAATAGTATAATATTTTGAAATCTTAATTCATTAAAACTTAGTAATAACTTAATAATATAACATTAAAATAACATCCTATATCGATAAAATTACTAAAATAATACTATAGATGCTGTTATGCAAAAAAATGATTAAAATAATAGGACTAGACTACTTAAATAGAATATTGTATTTACTGATAAAAACATACAATATACCAAAATGATAGATTTTTAAGTATATTTTTGAATAAAATATGAAACCATAAATTATTCTAAACAAAATATCATTCTAATGTATAACTAAATAAAATTTAAAATGTCTTCTACGCAAACTATCAAAATTAGAAAATATATATTTTGTACATGATTTTCTATTTATCTATTTCAAATTATGAACGTATTGTACTGAACTCAAAAATATATTAATATGCAATAATAATTAATAACAAAGTTTAATGCATACAAAAAACCATTATATATTAATTATGTTGAATAAGAAACTTAAAATAATAAGATTAAAGATTCATACAAAATATAAAACTAAAATATAAATCACATATTTAATTATATATTTATAAAATGAAAATATACCCGCACAGATGTGTTGGTCCAACTCTAGTATTAACATTAATACATCTTTTACGTAACGAATAACTTGAGAAAAAACCCTAACATATTTGGTGCATGCTTAAAGATGTATTCAAGGATGTGCATCTCTCAAGTTTCAAGTTGATAAAAAAAAAAAAAAAAAAGTTGATAGAGTTAGGGCAACTTACAATTAGAATATTCAATTGAATAAGGAAAGCAAAACGCGTTGACGGTGGTAAACGGCGTTTACTGAACGCGGACTACCCACGTACACCACTCTTGAAGCTATCGTGAAACAGTGCTCTTTCATTTGATCTTTTATACCCACGTACACCACTCTTAGTTATATACCCCTTTTTCGTTAAAAAACAAAATATATAAATATTCCTCAAATCAATGATATTCGTAACTAGTCATGCAGTTTATACGATTTAAATTAAGTTAATTAATCCCAATACCCCCCTTCGGCCAACGTACTAAACATAGCTCTTAATTTTGTGACGTGTGATTTTGGAGGTTAATTGTCATGTGATTGTGATGGTCAACTAAGGCTACGCAATGACTTTGATACTCTTCATAATCTATTCTAACGTGCAGTGCCTAACTCGGTTGATTAAACCTACTTTTTTTTTCATTCTAATTTTCTTATCATATGCTTTCATCTGAATTTCTTTTCAGAATATTCTAATCATTAAGTTCTTAGCCAAAATTAACCAAACAATATAATGCCATGTCACACACGAAGATCATTTCCAGTAGAGTGGACTATATATGTTGCTAATAGTCTTGGTGTGTATATTTAAGTCTTAATTGTTTTTTTTTGCCAAAAAGTCTTAATTTTTTAAACATATATTTATATAAGTACTGTTTCATTCCTTTTTAAACTGTACACGTCGGATCGAATGTGGAAAATCGTTTGACTTGAAACGGACACGTGTGAAACGACTCCAAAATCTGTATTTCATTAAACAAAATTTCGTGAGGCTATGTTGGACTTTATTGTGTTGTTTTGGCCTTCTTGGATAAGGAACCCTAATGGAGACACCATGTGTAACGAGAGAGATGTGAGTTTGTGTTGACGGTGAGACTCGTCTGCTTCTGATTATTATCTCTATCTCGAACGACAAGCATAAAAGCTCACAGTTTAATCACTTCGTCGACATCAATGATCTCCCCACTATGTCGCCATCATTGATCCGTTTTCAGATAATATGTATAAATAGATGCTTGTCTTCTTCATCCTTGATCTTCTTTGCTTGAAATTACTTAAATATATCACATTCGAGATGGCTAATAGTAGGGTTCTTTTCTCTGACGTGAAGTCCGCCAGGTGTTATTCCAACGTTGAGGCTAGACTCCTCCGTATGTGGGAGGCGAGAAGTGGTCGGCGTGGTGGTCAACTGACGTGCCTCAACATGCTAATGATCGATGTGAATGTAAGTAATATTAGCATCTGATTTCAATATTCCGGTGATGTTGGCCGTCGGTTTATAAGCTGTTATGTATGACTCAGACCTTTGAAGAACCAAAAAAATTATTATGTTTCATTTATGTCTCTATATTGGTTCTTAGATTTAGGTTATCATTAGATTTCAATATTGCGGTGATGTTGTCTGGTTGTTTATAAGCTGATGTCTATGACTCAGATCTTTGAAGAACCAACAAAAATGATTATGTCTCATTACTTGAGTTTTAAGCTGCACATTCAGGTCACGAACTGATATATTGAAACAGATTGTTACATTCTTTGGAAAGCTATTGTTGTTTGTTTTTCTTTTATTAGCATATTTTGTTCTGTGATTTACTGAAACACTGAGACTGATATAATTAATTGGTGTAGGATTAACTATGCATTGTATGAAGAGATTGAAACGAAAGATGTGTAACATACACAAGGTGTATACAGATACGCCAAAACCTACCTATTCTGAAACTTGTGAAGTTACTTTTATCTATTTTTCACTCTTGCAGTTTAGTCTTATTGTCTGTATTCATCTTACCAAACATTACAGAGAATGCCTCAAGCTTTTCCCCCACTCCAAATTTTCCTTTGCCAAAATATGGTTGCTTGCTCCTTAGTTTGAAATCCGGTAATTGAATCTTGCTGGTTCTCGGCAGAGATTAGGAAACACTACTGGGAAAGCTCCAAAAGATAAGGTAAGCATGAAATGTTTTTGTATGTCATATGTTTCATTGCTCTCATTTAACGTACTTACTTTTGGTTATATTTTTCTTTAGTAAACATATATTCAAGAAAAATACATTGTGATTGAGCTCCAGCTGGGAAACATAGATAGATGTAAAAATCTTTATGAGCATTATCGTGAGTGATCTCCTGAGAATACTTATTTTGAGCTTGAAATATCTCAGCCAGCACTGAGCTAGAGAGTTCTCTTGCGGAGATTGAACGAGCTAGAGCTGAGCTTGCAATATCTCAGCCAGAACTTGACATGCCCGAACTGCTATGGAAGGTAAAATATTCAGTCCAATATATTCAAAGAAGTAAAATATTCCTCAGACTTATGAATCGACTGGATCATTGAAACTTTATATATTTTTTTGTGTGGCAGGAGTACATAGATTTTGAGATAGCAGAAGAAGAATTAGAGAGGACACGAGTTTTATCTGATCGACTCTTGGACCGCCCAAAGTATTACACGGTGTGGGTTAGTTTTGGAGAATTTGTAGCTTTTGCCGTGGAACAAGAAGAAGACGAGGACGAGGAGCACCAAGACGAAATAGATGCTATTGAACTCAAGAAAGAGTGCATCAGACGTGCCAGAGGTAACTTTGTTATATGAATTTTGATTATAACCTTGGGACATGTGTAAACTGTTTTTTCTCTCTCTATTTACTTTTTTTTGCTCATCTATTTTCGAGAGAGCTAATAGCTACTACAGAGCCTCTGCACCAGAGTTGAAAGAAGAAAAAGCTACACTGTTGGAAGATTGGAGACAAACTTTGATAATCTCAGGGATTTGAGTGTTGTACAATCTAAAGTTCTCTGTTCATCGCCACTTATCTTTTAGGATTTTGTTGTTATCTTTTTGGCTGTGTTAGCAAAAAACTCAGTCTGTTATTGTTTTTTTTTATTTGGCATTAAACTTTTAGGTTGCGTTTTCCAGTTTAGAAAATATGGGGTAATCAAGAGTCTAAATTCGGGTTATTAGTTCTGATTTTTTTTTTGGTTTGTGAATGGTGAAACCTAAAATAGAAATGTACCCTCTATGTCTAATTAAGCAAAACTTTCTTAAGAAGTATTCTGACGATTAAAAAGTGAAATGCACTCTCTAGCTGAAGCAGGTGATTTTTTTTTGTAGTCTTTACAACTAATTTTCTTGGTTTGTTAGTAATGAACCAAAATATGAGAACATGACATGAAAACCCTATTTGTATGAATATATCACACAAAAAGGAGAAAAATATTGAAATAGAATTCTTAAATAGAATTCTAGGACCTATAACCTATACTTATCACAGTATTATTGCCTTTTGATTTAAAATTTAAAATTTTGTAAGAAAATTTAAAAATTTTAGAGTTTTATCAGATATGAAATTCATATTACAATAAATTTGGGTATGCATTTCACTAACATGATGCATATAGGATGATGAGGAAGTTGATAAGAAGGCTAAGACTCGGGCCATATTTGGTATGATTTTATTGAATTCACTCATCTTTTTGTGTTTGTGATTTTGATGACGAGTCAATATAATAATGTGTTAAGGTTGTTGAGAAGGATATGTTAAACCTTTAAACTATTTCAATTTTCATAGGAATGTTCTTATAGATATTGTAAGTAAAGAAGGTATTGTTTCCAAATTGAATGATTCAATGAACTCTCTCTTTAAACTATTGTTTGATGCTTTCTTTTATTTCTAATATTGATTCAATTTTTCTTTCATATACTTTTGGGATCAAAGTGGTCAATATTTTGATGTTGTAACAAAGTTTAACATGCTCAAGAGGATTTGAATGCTCCAAGGTTAAAAGACTAAAAGTAGAGTTTTTAGATATTGATCTTTATTATGATTCTTTCAGTAACTATAACACTCCAACCAAGACGATTTTATATAGCTATGATTCTCAGACCTTTAACCTCAGAAAAATAGTCATCCCATATAAGAACAAAGACAACATTCCGCGCGAAGTGCGGACCAATCCTAGTATTTTATGTGTTTGCGTTATCGCATCTTGAAATATAATGATTTTGTTTATACGTTATAAAATTATACTCACTCTTTCAAAATTAAATGTTGTTTCACGTTTTTTGTAAAGATTAAAAAAAATAATTTAAATGTCATTTTATCTTCTTTAATTTTTTTTTAAAACATATAACTTTATTGATAACAAATCAATGTAACATATTACATAAAACATAAGATACATCAAACATGTTGTTAATAAAGAACTTTTAACAGAGACAACAGTAATACAATGCTTCCTAACACATTCGCAGAATAAACTGATTCGCTAACTTTCCTCTACTTCGTTCTTGATCTTGTAAGATCTTTCTTGTGGCTCTCAATTCATGTAAATACATACCTTTCTTTCTTTAAGAAGGTCATTGGATACGATCCATCTGTTACATCGCAATCAGTCCCAAACACTCCCGCTGCAGAAAACAACATGATTTATTGTAAATGTTCATGGAATTGACATTCTTTTTCTTTGAAACCAATAAAGCATAACTTCAAATTATTATGTCGGAGAAACAACATCATCTTCCACCTTATTGCTTGAACCAGCAATAATTTGAAGTTATGCTTTATTGGTTTGAAGTTATGCTTTATTGGTTTCAAAGCAAAAGAATGTCAATTCCATGAACATTATGTCTATTATGATGAGGAATGGATGGGCTATGATATTGTCTCATACTACTTCAAAATTTTCAGCAAAAGTAGGCTATGATGATGAGGAATGGATGGGCTATGATATTGCTGGTTCAAATATATAAAGGTGGAAGATGATGTTATGTCTCCCCAACTTATTTTTTACATTATTTTGTTATCTAGACTTCATTACATTTCATAGCATTTCGCCGCACTTCACTACACCCTTTATTACTACTATCTTGTTAATTACTTCATCTCAATATATATAAGGAAATCAAATCCTCTAGGACCGGATTTCAAGCCAGGGCTAGATCAAATATCAGCCTTTTTTTAATAAGCTTCTAGTCCTCCGTAAGTCAGGGCCCCTACTGGCGGCATAATTACGTTAAGACCATGTACCCAAAATTTATTTGACAAAAATAAACAAGGGAAATTGGGCTGTATGGCATGAAAAAAAAGACTAATTCACCAAGTAGCCAATATCCCTAACATTCCTATACACACCGTTACATTTATATAATCATACTATATTCACTACAAGAAAACTAAGCATTTACTAGGAAACTTTACTAGGAAAATAATTTCTCGTAAAATTACTACGAGTTTACTTCGAGTTTACTAGGAAACCATGTTTCCTCGTAAAGTCGTAGTATACTTACGTGGCCCTTACGAGGAAAAAGTCATTTTCCTCGTAAACCCGTAGTAACTCATTTCCTCGTAAAGTCCTAGTAATTGCTTACTACGAAATTAGGAGGAATGGGTTTTTTTACTACGAAATTAAGAGGAACTAGATAGAAAATATCGAATTTAAATTTTGTACCTACTTTTACTAGTAATTTCCTAGTAAATTCTCAGATTCGAAAATTTCTATAAATACCACCATATGTGATTCATTTGAAACACACCAAACAAATAGAAAATACTCAATTCATAATTGAAAGGAGTTCACAGTCAACATAATAGTTTATTATCAACTCGTCATAGCTTTTCCTCAAAGAAATAGCTTGGGGCTTTTCTTCAGGTAGATAGTTCGAGGAGAGCTATGTGGAGTTGATAAAAACCGTTCCGATGACTGTATACTTCTTTTAGTTTTTTTTTTTAATTTGTGATTTGGGGTTTAGGAAGATGTATAGGTATAAGTTATGGAAGTTAGTTTAGGTTTAGGGTTTAGGTTTAAGGTTAGGATTTACGGAATTTAGATTAGGTGGTTAGTTTAGGGAACTTATATTAGGTTGTTTAGTTTTTAAAATTTGGGGTTTAGGTATAGAAGAGGTTAGGAGTTTGGTTGTAGAAGAGGTTATAAGTTAAGGAAGTTGTGGTTTGGGGTTTCGAGTTTAGGGATTTACAAACCCTTTCCTCGTAAAGCCCTAGTAAGAGAAAACGCGGGCATAGTTGTTTCCTCGTAAAGTCCTAGTAATAACATTACTAGGACTTTACGAGGAAAAAAACGCGGGCATAGCTATTTCCTAGTAAAGCAGTTTCCTCATAAAGTCCTAGTATAACATTACTAGGACTTTACGAGGAAAAAAACGCGGGCATAGCTATTTCCTAGTAAAGCAGTTTCCTCGTAAAGTCCTAGTAATGGTATTACTAGGACTTTACGAGGAAATAAAAACACGGGCATAGCTATTTCCTCGTAAAGGCCTAGTAATGTTACTAGGGCCTTACGAGGAAACAAAATTCCTTATATAAACTCGNACGCGGGCATAGCTATTTCCTAGTAAAGCAGTTTCCTCGTAAAGTCCTAGTAATGGTATTACTAGGACTTTACGAGGAAATAAAAACACGGGCATAGCTATTTCCTCGTAAAGGCCTAGTAATGTTACTAGGGCCTTACGAGGAAACAAAATTCCTTATATAAACTCGAGCAATCCGATTTCTCATTTGTAGTAAGCTTTTCTCTGAATTCTCTTAAGGTTCTCTCTATTTCCTACTTAGGTGGTTAGATTAGGGAATTTAGATTAGGTGGTTAGATTAGGGAATTTAGATTAGGTGGTTAGTTTAGGGAATTTAGATTAGGTGGTTAGTTTAGGGAATTTAGATTAGGTTGATTTAATTTTTTTAACTGTTTTTTTTTTTAAATGATACTAGTATATTAATGATACTAGTTGTCGAGCCGGGATGACGACTTCGTTCGTCAATTTAACGAGCAACATCCGTAGTTTAGTTTTTTTTTCTTTAATTGTATATGAATATAAAACTTAAATATTTAGTTATTTATAAAATATTTAGTTATTTCTTTTTTATTTATAATTTGGATTCTTTATTTTTTAAATATATTATTTATATTTATTTTAATTATTTTTTTTAATTGGGAAAAATATTTCAAAGTAAATTTCTAGTAAAGCATTAGTAGGAAATTACGAGGAAAGTGGAAAAACATTTCGAAGTAAATTCCTAGTAAAGCATTACTAGGAAATTACGAGGAAAGTGGTTACTAGGAAATTACGAGGAAAGTGGTTACTAGGAAATTACGAGGAAAGTGGTTACTACGACTTTACGAGGAAAACGGCTTTACGATGAACGATTCATGACAAACCACGTTTCCTCGTAATTTCCTAGTAAAGGGTCCTTTACTAGGAAATTACGAGGCAAAACCGTCCTAGTAAAACTTGTGTTTTCTTGTAGTGATTGGCCTTGCTTTTCACTTGTGCAACCTGCAAAGAAACAAAAACTAAATTAATGAGTATTGATTGTGAAACATAGAACGTGGCTCTTTGTTGCTACACACACTCACAAAATAATTTTTTTTTATTGTTAATATTTGAAAAAGTGAATAGATTCCTCCAAAAATAGATTTCAGCTATGAAGACGTAGGACTACGTATCCGGAAAGTTTTGTGAAGGAGACATGTTAGGAAGATTTGTCGGTTACGGAAAGGAGAGGCTTCTCAGATTCCAAAGTGACAGTAGCAAAGACATCAGAACATGTACAGAATTCGGAACACGTAATCTGAATTTACATG